ATGGTCAGCGGGGACTAATATTAACATGTGCGAGAACAACCCTCTTCTCAGCCTCCAAAAGCACTTTCTTGCGAGTCATTTCCGAGAGCTCGTTGGCCTTTGTCCTGTGCTCCTGCGTGGCTTGGGAATGACAGGCGGAGATGGTGCACCTTGAACACAGTCAGGGCAATGTGGCTGTGGCATGTGCTTGTGAGTCATGTTGACACAGTCCTCACGGTACTCGTTCTTCACACCCTCCAGCACCGCGTTCTCCTGTGTGAGCTTGGCCACTTCCTTGCCCAGGCTGTCCTCCGGGTCAGCACAGGGATGCAATTAAATGCTAAGGAGATGCTAGGAGAAAGGGACACAGTCGACAGACAAGGGCGTCCTCAGAAGCCTTTTTTTCATTCCGCAGAACTTGACACTGCTCCTGATGCAGAAGCGAAGCGCTCCACGCATACCCAGTCCTGCGAGTCAATCCAACTCGACCCGGCCTTGAGTTCATTGATCTCGTCCCGCAGTGGGTCTCGCCACCCCGACCGAGTGGCGGCGCTGGCGCCCCTCTTCTTCCGAGCATTGTCGGCAGCTTTCCATTGGCGATATGCGTCCGGATCCATGAGTTCGTGTGGCTACCTTGCCAGGCCTTGCTGTGGCTATCTGATATCGTTGCGAAAGCAAGGTGACAGTGCTGTGTGTGGTTGTGGATGGAGAAATTTGAGTTTTTGGCAAAAAGCATATACGGATCTTTAGACAGATGAGGGTTTAGGCGTTGTTAGGGTTAAGGCTTCTTAGAGTCGACAAAGACAATCTCAGACAGACATGTATGCCCACTGTGCCGGTTGCAGCAGCAGTCGCACAACCACATGCATCTAGGCCCAGGCTCAAGTAACAACATGATGATGCCAACAAGCACGTGCTCTAGCAAACTCGAGCATCCAAAATCCACTCAGCCTCAGGCTGGAGATGTGCGTGGTCTCGGCTGCCGTTCAGGCGCCTGCAGAGAATGTTTCGAGGTTTAGGGTTGGGGAAGGGATGCGCTTTGGGCCTTAAGGGCTCAGGGCGGACGTCTTCCTTGAAACTTGTTGCTCAGTGAACAAACAGTCATGTAGCGCCGATCTCTCGCCAAGGGGCAGACCGCTTCTTCTTGAACGTGATGCGGCCAGCTCAAAGACTTCGCCTTGCAGGCACGGGGGCTGGGCATCTCTTGCGGGCAAGACCTGAACCCTGAAACTCTATAATCCCTAAGCGGCCCCGAACCCTGGACCCAGACCCTAAACAACCCTTAACCACTAAGACCCTAATCGTAAACTCCAGCACGTGTCTGTTTCTTGCTGCTGCTGCAAGCATCCCCGCGCAAAGTGAGACGACAATCAGTCTCCTAGCACCCCCCGTTCAAGATGTTCATGAAGTTGATAAAACGACTCTCTGCTCGGGCCACCTTCCCTTTCTCAAGTCTCTTGCTTTGCAAGATATATAAGGATTCGCAGCTTGCTAATAGGTCTGTTGTGGCCTCCTCGTCCCCCGCCGGGCTTGCAGCAGATTCGACTCCTGCTGTAAGTTCGCTGCCCGCATCGCAAGCATGACCAAGGCATGTCTAGCTTAACCCCTACGGCCCTACGATGGACCTGATTGAATTGTAACTTGACCGACGAAGCGTGTTCGCTTGATGTTGGGTATGTGGTTTGCTTGCTTGACTGTTGCAAGCCCCCCCCAAAAAGAAACCCACGTTCCTGGAACCAGAGCATGGTTAAGCAAGCAGCTTCAAGCTTTGCAGGCGGTGCGTATCGGGGACGAGGCCTGCCCCGGAAGCCCAGAGTGAGTATAGACACTTGACGACGTTACAAGGCTAGCTCCTAATTCGTAGGTGGGGCGGAGGAAGTCCTTATTTTGGGGCGGGGAGTTCGCCCTCAGGAGTTCGCCTTGCGGGCTTGGGAGTCCTCTCTCGGGGCCGGGGAGTCCTTGTTTCATGTGGGGGAGTGCGCCAAACGGCCATTAGGAGAACTTCCTTTACCGGCCATTAGGAGAACTTCCTTTCGGCCATTAGGAGAACTTCCTTTACTTGGGGTGAGTCCATGCCAAACGCCAGCCATGTGTCCGTAACAGCTTTTGCTCGATCTTCCGGCCATTAGGAGAACTTCGGCCATTAGGAGAACTTCGCGGCCATTAGGAGAACTTGCTTTACTTGCGGCCAGTAGGAGAACTTCTTTTACTTGGGGTGAGTCGACGGCCATTAGGAGAACTTCCCTTTCCCTTCCAGGAGAACTTCCCCTTCCCTTCCTTCAAGGTTCATCTCCCCTTGCCCTGCATTATTGAGTACTTGAACTGCCCCATCCTGAATTCAAGGCTGACGGTTTAATTACCTATGACGTGGTTTAATTCAAATAGTCTTTGCCGCGCAAACCTGTATGCCTGTATGCCAAGAGGTGGATGCCTCAGAGTTGAAGATAAGCATTTCTTGCCGGCAACTAGTATCTCCGTATGAACCGACTTCACAGAGTCAGGTTTAGGGTTTAGGGTTTAGGGTTTAGGGTTTAGAGAATGAATCATTGAAGCCACAGGTCTCCCCGCGGGATTCCAACAGCGCCTGCCAAGTTGAGGTGGGCATCCGTGCCGCGAACTTCCTGCATGCCTGGCGTTCATGAGTGAAGCCGCGTCATGTATGCAGCTGTGGATCATAACTTTAAAAGGTGTCAGAACCCCAAAATCCTCACAGAGCATTCTTATTCATTCCTCAGTCATGTAAAACCAGAAAATGTTCAGACTCCTTCTTCCAAGTATGAAGGCTCTCGTTTCTCTTCTTTGCCCGTACCCGGGTGGCGCAAGCAAGACCACGACATCACACAGGAACGAGATCATTCTAGCATCAGTACACCCAATGACGCCCAGTTAGCGTACCTTCAGAAGCCGTGCGGATGGCATCTGTTTTGCTGTTATGTCACTGCTTTCACCAGACGATCGGAAGCAGTATCTTTGGCTTTACATGGCAATGGCAGTATCATGGCTGACACCATGTTCTCTACAATTTCTCGCAGTCAAAGGTACTTCAGAGAGCTACAAGAGCGTCAAGGGCAACCCAACAATGACAAGAAGAACCTTCGACGGGAATTCTTTGCATCGCTTCGACGCCCCGCCAGCACTGCTAGCAGCCCCAGCACTGCTTCGATTGGACGCACTAGCAGACGGAGCAATGACTCGAAGATCCATGTTGATTTCTCTTGGGAAGCATTGCTGAAATTTCAGGAAGTGGCATTTAGGCTGGAAGCGAAAGCTGCACAACCTGCGCCGGGTGGCCCAACCAAAAGACCGAACTATGACAACAGCCGCAGACGGGCTGCGTCCAAGCCGGCTCTCCCAAAGGATGTGCTGCTTGGGCCGCACAATCTTGGAAGAAAGGAGCTGACAAATTCTTTCTAGCGCATGCCTGCGAATTCTAACTGAGGTACAAACAGAATGGGGCTAGTGAGGACCGAATCCAAGCCTTGCTTGGAGATACGTGCGCCTGTTCGAATGGTCGGTGCTACAAGGCATTCCAGTCCAATCCGGGTGACATTATTCGGTATGTTTGCACGTTCTGGAAATTTGATAAAGCAACGCAAGACTCTTTCGACACTGAACGTGTTCAGAACTATTTCTCGGTTTATGCCCGTTCTGTTTCTTGCAGTGCTGCTGCGTGTGATGAGTCCTGACAACCCAAGTTGCGGCATGTGGTGAGTCAGCGTGGCGACGACACAAAAATCGAGACATGGTGTATCTTGGGGGCAGGTCAGCAGCCTGCGCGTCGAAGATAATGAGCTGCTGATGGTCAGGCCTTGGCAGGGCGCTGGACAGTAGGGTCTGGGTTTACCGTTTTTCCGGCGTGGATACATGCCATACACTTCCACTTTTGATTTAACGCTTCAGGGTTTGAGCTTGAGTAGGGCTTAGGGTTGCTCGGGGCTTGTTTTTTTTTAAGGTTTAGCCGGACGCAGCAAGGCTGAAAGCAATAGGGTTAATTGCGGCCTAAACGCTGCGGACACCGCGACCGTGTTTATTTTTCCGTTTCGAAACTCTGGGGATGTCATGCCATCGTGGTCATGACGTGTGATTAAAAACTGCACTGCTGCTGCAGGCATTGTCTGAACGCGAGCAACTCATCATCTTCGTCGTGCAGGCTGCTGACCTCTGCTCTCGCAGGTCTCTCTGATTCAAAATAATGAGTGTTCGTATCTTCTTCGTGCAGGCTGCTTCTTTCGTGACCCCGATGCATGCTGGGGAGTCACGGGGCTTGGTCAGGGTCATAGATGTCTGACCACAGCTTCTGAACGTCATGCTGGCGAGCCATTCCTTCTGCCATCTGTTGGTCTGTGAGTTTCCCATATCCCGCCCAGACTTTGTCGGACTTGATTCTGGCGAACTTCTTCGCGATCTCCGAAGGCACCGACGAGGACTTGAGATCGTTGCAGCACCGATGCCGGGCCGAATGGCTCCGGATAGAGCCTATTTTGACATCTGTGTTGGGCGGAGGCACAAATGTTTCTCGTGCTGAGCGGATCGCCTTTGCGACGGCGTCCTTCAGGCACACGTCATGTAGCACGAGTTAGCTTGATAATAACATTACAACAGCACATGCTTTTGGAAATACTCCAGCCTTGTTCCGATGAGCCTGCGCTGCATCTTTCCTATTGCTTGGGAAGAGCCAAGCCTCGTCCTGGGTTGGAAAGACCCACTCATCCTTGTAGGTGATGGCCCCGCGGTTACCCCATCGACGCGTGCGCTGGACTGAGACACCTCCAGCTTCTTGCCACTCTGTGAGAAGCCTTTTGGCTGCTATCGACAGCGGTTTGTTGAGGGCAGCCCCTTTCTTCATTGCCCCAATGTGCACTGTCGCACCTGCGAGGTTCACATCCGAGCGACGCAGTGTGCATGCTTCTGTAACCCGAACACATAGGAGATGCGAAAGGCTAGCAAGGGCATAGAGCCATGTTGGCCCAACGCTTTTCAAGTGGCTGATCCATGCCTTCCAACCTGCCCCTGCCAAGGTATCGGCAGGCCCGCGCCCGGTCTTTCGGCGAGCTGCAGGCTTCTTGTGAACTTGCTGGCATTTAGCCATGGTAAAGATTACCAAGCACAGCCAACAGAAGATCGAGCAAAAGCTGTTACGGACACATGGCTGGCGTTTGGCATCGACTCACCCCAAGTAAAGGAAGTTCTCCTAATGGCCGTTTGGCGCACTCCCCCACATGAAACAAGGACTCCCCGGCCCCGAGAGAGGACTCCCAAGCCCGGAAGGCGAACTCCCCAAGCCTGAGGGCGAACTCCCCGCCCCAAAATAAGGACTTCCTCCGCCCCACCTACGAATTAGGAGCTAGCCTTGTAACGTCGTCAAGTGTCTATACTCACTCTGGGCTTCCGGGGTAGGCCTCGTCCCCGATACGCACCGCCTGCAAAGCTTGAAGCTGCTTGCTTAACCATGCTCTGGTTCCAGGAACGTGGGTTTCTTTTTTGGGGGGGCTTGCAACAGTCAGGCAAGCAAACCACATACCCAGCATCAAGCGAACACGCTTCGTCGGTCAAGTTACATGACAATTCAATCATGCTAAGGGTTTGTGTCACAGTGATTTCGGTTCAGGGCTGTTTCTTTTTAGCGCCCGCATAGCTGGACGAACCACTCGGCAGGGATTCTTGGGACTGTTCAGGGTCCAGGGTTCGGGGAAGCCGTTTAGAGACCCTAGAGTTTATCTCAGAGTTTAGGGTTTAGGAATTAGACGCAAGACATAGCCTCCCCCGAGCCGCAAGGCAAAGTCTTTCAGCTGGCCTCATCACGTTGAAGAAGAAGCGGTCTGCCTCTTGCCGAGAGTTCGGAAGTACATGACATATGCGCAAGCTTCAAGCTCTGGATCAAGTGTTCCTAAGGTGTGCAGCGTGAGCCCCGTTGTGGGGAGTTCGGGCTTTGGGACGGGGCAGAACGGTTTCATGACCGCGGGGGTTGGGCCACGGTTGTCAATTTCCACAGGCGGCGCTTCTAATGACAACATGGTTTTTCCTTGGAAAGCCTCACATCGCTTGCGTTTCGCAGCTTTTGTGGAAAACAAGCAGCATGCCTTAGCGCCTTCGCGTGACCAAGCCCAAGCTCATGTTGAAACTAGCTTTTGCAAGACATGCGAAGGCTCTGCTTCTCTCATGTTTTTCTTAGGACATCAAGTCGTAACCGGTTGCGTTTTGCAACGTGTGTGTCGAAGACATGAGTTCTGTAGGGCTTTCCCCCAAGCTCATGCCGAAAGTTGTTTTGCCAGGCCATAGGATTGCAGTGCTTCTGACGAACACATGGTTTTTCCTTGGAAAGCCTGAAATCGCAACTGGTTGCGTTACGCAGCTTTTGTGGAAAACAGCAGCATGCCCTAGAGTCTGCGCGCGAGCACCCCAAGCTGATGTTGAAACTTGCTTTTTCCAAGGCGTGCAAAGGCTGTGCTTTTCTTAGGAAAGCATGAAGTCGCAACTGGTTGCGTTTTGCAGCGTGCGTGGAAAAACATGGATGCCCCAGAGCTTTCCTATTAACACAGAACAATTCAATGTGACACCAAAGCCACATTCCTTTTTTTGCATCTTGCCTGTGAGGGCTGACAGGGCCTTGAAGGCTCGTCAAAGACTCCACAAGGTTCAAGGGTTCGGGGCTGCCCTCAAGGCTTGTGTCCAGAACTCCGAGAATCGGCCAGGCTGGGCTCCTACGATTGGGTAGTCAGTTCTGCATGTTTCGGGGTAATTCGCCAGGAATAACGCTGCGCCGGGGTCCGACGCCGTGCCGGGGCCCGGCGCCGCGCCGGGGCCCGACGCGGCGGAGCAGGTGAACAGAGCATGTACAAGCACAAAAGGAACGATTGCTCACGATCAGTCGGTAAAACGCGGCTGACAGCTATATAACCCACTTGCCACTCAGTTCACTTGCTTCTGACAGCGCTGGGGCCCGGCGCGGCGCCGGGCCCCGGCGCGGCGCCGGGGCCCCGACGGGCGCCTGCCCCGGGACGCGGCTGCCGGGCCCCGACGCGGCGCCGGGGCCCCAAACGCGGCGAGTAGTATAATTGCTTACATCCCAGCTAAAGGTAGTAAGTAGTTAGTAGAGTTAGTAGAGTAGTAGTAGTTAGTAGTAGTAGTAGTAGTAGCGGAGTATCAGAGCCCGGCGCGGCGCCGGACCCGACGCGCCCGGGGCCCAACGCGGCGTAGATAATTGTAGCACTAAGTAGTAAGTAAGTAGCCGCTAGCAGTAAGTAGTAGTAGTAGTAGTAGTAGTAGTAGTAGTAGTAGTTAGTAGTAGTATGTAGTTAGTAGTAAGTAGTAGTAGTAGTAGTAGAGTAGTAGTAGTAGTAGTAGTAGTAGTATAGTAGTAGCAGTAGTAGCAGTAGTAGAAGTAGTAGTAGCAGTAGTGGTCCCGGCGCGGCGCCGGGCCCGGTGGCGCGGGCCCGGCGCGGCGCGGGGCCCGACGCGCCGGGGCCCAACGCGGCGCCGGGGCCCAACGCGGCGCGTAGTATAATTGCTTCCATCTAGCAGTTAGTAACAGTAATAGTAGTAGTAGTAGTAGTAGTAGTAGTAGTAGTAGTAGTAGTAGTAGTAGTAGTAGTAGTAGTAGTAGTAGTAGTAGTAGTAGTATATTATAGCAGTAGTAGTAGTAGTAGTAGTAGTAGTAGTAGTAGTAGTAGTAGTAGTAGTAGTAGTAGTAGTAGTAGTAGTATATTATAGTAGTAGTAGTAGTAGTAGTAGTAGTAGTAGTAGTAGTAGTAGTAGTAGTAGTAGTCGTAGTGGTAGTAGTAGTAGTAGTAGTAGTAGTAGTAGTAGTAGTAGTAGTAGTAGTAGTAGTAGTAGTAGTAGTACTAGCAAAGCGCGCCCTCAGGCGCCTGGTAGTTGGGTGCGTTTTTTGCTCTTCTGGGCTGGGGGGGGGGGGGATGATAACGTCCATGCCATGTCGCACATGCCGAATACATCGTGTTTTACAGTGTTTTGGCCTCCGGGGGAGACACGCGGCCACGCCTGGCTAGTAGGTCGATCGCTGAGATGCCACCATGCTTTTTCCGAACCTGCCTAGGGCGGAAGGAATTTTAGTCGTTTTCGGTGCAAAAAAACGTCTGGCTCGCGGCAGCGTTTGTGTTCATGATGCTCGCTTTTGTTTTGCCACGGCGACATCTCTGACGCCCTGCTCGCTGCGGCGGTGTGTTCTAGCGTGGAGGGCTTCGGTTTTCTTCTCAACGTTGAACCCGAAAGTTATGCCCAAAGCCTGTTAGTAGTTAATAGTTAGTAGCTAGTAGTTAGTACATAGTAGTTAGTAGCTAGTAGTTAGTAGTTAGTAGTAAGTACTGAGTACTTAGTACTTAGTACGGAGTAGTAGTAGTAGTACTACTACTACTACTACTAGTAGTACTAGTAGTACTAGTAGTACTAGTAGTACTAGTAGTACTAGTAGTACTAGTAGTACTAGTAGTAGTAGTAGTAGTAGTAGTAGTAGTAGTAGTAGTAGTAGTAGTAGTAGTAGTAGTAGTAGTAGTAGTACTAGTAGTACTAGTAGTAGTAGTAGTAGTAGTAGTAGTAGTAGTAGTAGTAGTAGTAGTAGTAGTAGTAGTACTAGGGACGATGTTACCTTGTCTGGGTGCTGCGAAAGGTTTGGGGACTTCTGGTCCTGGCCTTCATGGTTTAGGCTTTGGTTTACAGTCTCGGTCTGTTTCGGTCTTGGACGTGAAATGCAAGCTCCAAGGCCTATGCTCCGAATCACACCGCCCTCACAAGGAAATTCCGCACGGCTTCCAATCTATCCGACAGGCATCCAGAAACGAAAGCGCCAGCATGCTTTCATGCTCCGAAGAGAATCTTGTCAGAATCGAAGCCAGAAACATGTGGGTGCACACTACTTTGTATAGTGCGCCCATAGGAAGCCATGCGAGAAGTAGTCTGCAACCATGGCATTTTTTCCTGTCATACATTTACGTCTACTTCTCGGTAGCAGACACACCACCACGGCTGTGGCCCAGTTATGAGACGGGCATGATGCCTGGAGAAGACTACTAGAAGCCCTACACTAGCTACAGAAGGTTTCCATGCTTGTCGAAATGTTCAGCCACGACTTCTCCACGTAGCTTTTTCAAAATGTGATACACTTGCTTCCGCTGATCCTCGTGACGACTCACCCTTGCTCTGAGGTCTTCGACTTCTTGTTCCAGGCGCTGCTTGCTGACCAAGAGGTTCTCATACTTCTCCTTCAACTCGTGTAGTTGCTGTTCCCGAAACTCTTTCTCGCCAAGAACACACTGGTAATTGTCTATGGCTTCCATCTCCACCTGGGACAGTCGGACTCGAACAGTTTTTCTGTTCTTCTCGTACTGTTGCATGGTCTCTTGACTTCGGCAAGGCAAATCTTTGGAAGGCTTCTTCTTCTTCGTCTGCTCGCGTTTCTCTTTCTTCACCAGTGCACCAGCATCGGCTATGTTCTTCTGCTTGCATTTCTCGCTCTTCACCAGGACCAGTGCACCAGCGTCGGCCATAGCTGCAAAGCGGACAGATTCGGCGGCAAGACTTCTCTGTCCGAAAAAGTATTTGCCTGAAGACCTCTATCTGATGAATTTTCTAGAAACAGTACATCATAGACAAACGATCCTGGAAAGTCGTATCGCCAGGCACTGCGCTAGTCTTGAAACACGAATGAGTGAATCGTGCACTTCTCCCTGAACCCAAAACACATCCTGATGAGAGCTCAGGATCCAATCACTCTGAGTCAGGTGGAATGCTCCAGCCTAAGACCCAAACCCGAAACCCAATCCTGAACCCTTTCGCCCAGGACAGGAAGTCCCAAAAACCTTTCGTAGCACCCGTGCAACCGACAGCTGAAATTGCCCGTCGCTCCCCAACCCTAAACCCGAGACGGAAAACATTGCTTGCAGGCGGGCGCCTGGACAGCAGCTGAAGCACGCAGCTGTCCGGCCTGATTCTCAATCAACTCTGCTGGATCTGGCAGCATGATATTCCCCGTTTAGGCAGGTTTCACGTGCTTGCGCGAGTGCTGAGGCAGGTTTCACGTGCTTGTGCGAGTGCTGCAGCAACCGGCATAGTGGGCAGACATGTTTCTGAGCTTCA